CCCATCCTGTCAGCTCAGGGCAGGCGGGGGTGGGTGGGTGGCCCCAAAACGCCAGGCAGGACAGGAGGTGGCCGGACAGTTCCGCAGCTGCGACCCACCGAGACCCCCCCGTGCCAGCAGAGCACAGCGCCCCGTCGGTTGATTCCTGTCCCCTCTGCCCCATCCCGCTGCAGAGGTTCCCAGCCCCAGAGCTGCTGCTCTGGGTAGGTCAGGACCTGAAGGGGACCTACAGGAGAGCTGGGGAGGGACTTTTGGCAAGGGCATGGGGTGAGAGGATGAGGGGAACAACGGTTTTAAGCTGAAAGAGGGGAGATGTAGATGAGGAGGAAATTCTTTGCTGTGAGGGTGGTGAGAGCCTGGCCCAGGTTGCCCAGGGAAGCTGTGGCTGCCCCATCCCTGGCAGTGTTGAAGGGCAGGTTGGATGGGGCTTGGAGCAGCCTGGGCTGCTGGGGGGGGTCCCTGCCCACTGCACAGTCTTTAAGGTCCCTTCCCACCCAAACGATTCTGTGATCCTATGAAGATGAGCAGAGCCATCCTGCTGGGAGAAATCCCATGGGCTGCTTCCTCCAGCAGGGACCCAGCAGCCTGAGCAGCACGGCTGCAGCTTCAGGAGGGCACTGGGACTTCAGGACGGTTACTGGGCTCAGTTCTCAGGGTCACCAGCAGGATACAGGGTTGCATTTTGAAGTCTCAGGCTCGGATGTGATGCAGCCATTCCTTGTGCTCCAGGGAAACAGGATCAAAGTTTCAGGGTGCCCCTTTCTCCCCCTTTTTGGCTGCTCCAGGCTGCAGCAAAGAGCCATTAAGGACAGGAGGACTTTCATGTGGGGATTTCTCTTCTTCAGATCTTCAAAGAAATCCAGCAATCAAACATGTAGTAGTGGAAGCACCTTTTATAAAAAGCCCTGCTTTGAAAGCATCACATGCAAAAGGAACATCTAAACTTTGTTGTGTTAATTGTTCTGGCACTCAAAGTTATGACAAAATGTCTTGGAAATATTGTTGGCTCTGGGCCCATGATGTGTCAGACAGACACAAAAATGCTCGAGCAGAAAACCTAGGGAAAGAAGAAGAAGAAGAAGAAGAAGAAACCACCACAATAAAACCCAAAACCAACAAACAATGAGAGATTTCTACAGGAAAGAACAGCGAGGTGGCTCAGTCCCTGCTCTCAGGGAGGTGACAGCAGGGCAGGAAAACCCCAGAGCACCTGGGGCACCCACCCATGTTTCCTTGAGCTGCCCAGTGCCCTGGGCATCGTTAGGAGCTGGTTGCTAACGAGAGCTGGCTGTGGCCTGGCCCCCATCTGCTTCCCACTGATATGAGAAGCCTTCTTGGAAGTGCCAGCAGAGATGCCAGCTGCAGCCCTGTGCTGCTCCCAGCCACCCTCCCCACTGTGTGCAAGTGGCTTTAGCTCCAGGCTGTCCCAGGGGGGTCACAAGCATCATCCCCACGGCCTGGGAAGGCAGATGCCTCCTTTCCCCATCAGCCTGCTCCTCCTGCCCGGCTCCAAGCCCCAAATATGGGCTCAGCGTTTCCGGGCTCCCCGGAACAAGCCGGGACAGGAGCGGTGCCGGGGGGTGACTCAGGGCCCGACAGATCCCTCTGCCGGGAAACCCGCCCCGGCCCGGGCGGGACCTGCTGGGAGTGGTGGCAGGAGCTGCTGCCTTCCCCTCCTCCAGCCAGCTCGGCCCCAAAACACCCTTTTCTCCTCTTTTTCTGCCACACCTGGGCTGCTCATGGATGTCTCATGGGGACGTTGCTCCCAAAACAGCCCCAGGTGAGCCAGGGTTATAGGTCTGGGCTGGTGCAGGGTGCAGCACACCTGGGGTGCAAGTGACCCACCAAGCCACAGCCATGCCATCCACCCCACCCCCCAGCTGAAAAATCCATGGAAATGCCCTATTTTCGTGCCTGAAAATCCCCAAACACCCCCCTGTGGCCGTGTCACAGCTCCAGTCCCTGGGGTGCAGCCTGTGGGGACGCACCAGCTGCCCCCAGTAAGAAGCCAGAACCCCAAGGAGCAGCAGGAGGGGGGAAGGGCAGGTTGTCCCCCATCCCCCTGGGGACAGTGACAAGGGAAACTTGCACCGGGCTGGAATAAATCTGCAGGGCAGCCTGCTGTGCTCTGAGCACTCCAGCATCCCTTCATCATCTGGGACCGTTTATCTCTGGGTGTCTCTCCCCGGTTCCCTCTCCCCAGCCAGCCTGGCAGGAGCTGCCTGTGCTGGCAACAAGAGCAGCAGGTCGGCTGCAGTCACCCCCCAGAACTGGCATTTTCTCAGTAAAATGCCGCTGAGGTCATTTTCACCCTCTTCAAACACCCACGGAATCGGGGGGGGGAGG